ACATCGTAGAGTCAAGTGTTGAAAGGATTAAAACACAAGAAAAATTAACGAGCCAACATAACCGCATCATATAGAATGAACCTCCAGCGACCTTTTACAACACCGTCCCTTAAATTGAACCCTGTGAGAAGTACAGCCAACGTGCCGCTTAAATATCACCGAGATCAAAGTGTTAATCGTGGTACAATGTTGGCATGCTTTCTCGCGATGCACCTAAGCGTGCAGTCCAACGCCCACGCGTGTACGCGGTGCATAGAACGACGCTTTGCGGCAATAAAAGACACGGATTCCATGGATTAAATAACCAACAAGAAACATGGAAACGCTGCTAGAGATTAGAGGAGGACGAAGGGGAAAGTTATTGCCTGGTTCCAGATGATCGTTGCTTCGAACAGGGATATTTGTTGAGGAAGCGATAGATAAATTGCGAACCTGTTCAAATGATGCTTCAAGGTGGATAGAAAGGATTTTGTGGATGGAGATGTTGGTTTCGATTGTTTGTTGATATTAGTTATTAGTTATTGTTGTTAGTTCTGATTATTTGGTTTATTGGATTAGGTTTTGGTAGCTGATGGAGAAGTTAGGGGTGCAGGTGAACATGGAGAAGTTAGGGGTGGGGTAAGGAGAGAATGCTGATGGAGAAGTTAGGGGTGGAGGTAAGGAGGGAATTTTGCTTAAGGTGGGAAGTTTGAGGATTTGCGAATTGGGGGATTTAGAAATTTGGATATTTCTGAAGTTGGGAATATGGGAATTTAGAGATGTTCAAATTTGGGAGGGTGGAAGTTTGGACACCGAGTTAGGGAATGTGGAAGATGGAGTATGTCCGAATTGGGAGATCTGGAGATTTGGATAATTCCGAATTTGGGGGTGTAGAAATTTGGGCTCTTTCAAATTGGGAGATATTGTAATTTGGGCTCTTCCGAATTTGGGGGTATAGAACTTTGGGCTCTTCGAAATTTGGGGGTGTAGAAATTTGGGCTTTTCCGAATTTGAGGTTATAGAAATTTGGACTCTTCCGAATTTGTGGGCATAGAACTTTGAGCTCTTCTAAATTCAGGGGTGTAGAAATTTAGGCTCCTTCGAATTTGAGGTCATAGAAATTTGTACAATACCAAATTAGGAAGTTCAGAAACTTCTTAATAACCAAACATAAAAATCTAAAAACTTAAACAATTCCTACCTATGAAATATTATTACCGCAATAAAATAACACTCCTACAGTAACCACAACGTCCCAAAAAAAATGCAAAATCCTCCCCACACAAAAATCCTCCTCCTCACACATGCTCCAACAAAAAGGTGCTGATCTAATCGCAAACGCATGAATCCATCTGAAAATTGCATCTCCACTTCCTACTCCATCAATAATACCCAGCAATAGTTGCAACTAATTTATGCCGTTTCATCAAAGTCCTCTTGGTTATTGAAACTTAGCATTCCATTACAAGTCCGTTGATGAATGCAACTCTCATCAACAGCGTAGGAACATAAGAGCAATAGGCTTCGTAAAGACAAGTTCCTTGCACACACGATGCGTTTACATTTTACAGGCTGTAACGGTGAACCTCCTACAGTCTTATCTAACGGCGATACAACAGTAGGTAGAGATTATGTCCTGCATACATATTAATCAACGGTCCGTGGTACGTGAATGATCGCAAGAAGCTGAATGCACGAGCACGATTCACGATAATATCATGCAATATGAATGAGACTAACGTTGAATCGAGCTGGTAAAACAGGCTTTTTTTATAAATTACTATTTACAGAATGTAAGAAGCTTGATATTCTTCCGATGTTCTTTTATAGTGCAGCGTAATTCTCTACCTTGTGTGATTTGTTAGAGTTCTGGAAAGATTGTGCAACTTGGAAATGTTCTTTTTGATAAACTGTCTTAGGACAGTTATGTTGTACTGTTTTATGAAAGTATTTATTTTGAAATAAATACAGGGTGGTTCATGTAAATTGTACACCCTGTAGATGGTATGAATAACTTTTTAAATATGTAATTTATTAGTAGATGTTATGAATAATTTTTTAAATATGCAACCTTGTCTTATGACAGTTATGTTATACTGTCTTATGAGAGTATTTATTTTGAAATAAATACAGGGTGGTTCATGTAAATTGTACCCCCTGTAGATGGTATGAATAACTTTTTAAATATGTAATTTATTAGTAGATGTTATGAATAATTTTTTAAATATGCAACCTTGTCTTATGACAGTTATGTTATACTGTCTTATGAGAGTATTTATTTTGAAATAAATACAGGGTGGTTCATGTGAATTGTACACTCTGCAGATGGTATGAATAACTTTTTAAATATGTAATTTATTAGTAGATGTTATGAATAATTTTTTAAATATGCAACCTTGTCTTATGACAGTTATGTTATACTGTCTTATGAAAGTATTTATTTTGAAATAAATATAGGGTGGTTCATGTAAATTGTACACCCTGTAGATGGTATGAATAACTTTTTAAATATGTAATTTATTAGTAGATGTTATGAATAATTTTTTAAATATTTTAAATATGTAATTTATTAGTAAATAACTTTTTAAATATGTAATTTATTAGTAGATGTTATGAATAATTTTTTAAATATGCAACCTTGTTTTATGGAAGTTATATTATAATGTCTTATGAAAGTATTTATTTTGAAATAAATATATGGTGATTCATGTGAATTGTACACCCTGTAGATGTTATGAATAACTTTTTAAATATGTGCAACCTTGAAATCTTCAGACATCATAACCTAGAAATATAAATTTACTACACATGCTCCTTTCAATCAAACTCCATATAAAAATTATCAAGGATCTTCAAAATTTAAATAATAACAATGCCAACAATTTATTAGAAGTTCACGTGAACCACCCAGTATACGTTCATCAACAATATTCACCAATAAACAATATTTCTATTACATCAGTGTATAATTTTGAAAAAGAAATTTATAAATGTAACACATTGCGCAACAAAATGGTTTGCAACCATATACAGGGTTAAAACCCTACAGAAAGTCGTAGCAGGAACGTGCTCGAGACGAACGGTCAATCAAAGGCCAATAAATTCCTGGGCTGTAACGTTGAATCGACTTCAAGAACCTGTCGCAAGGCAGCACCGTGATAAAGCAACACTCATCGACCATGTTCACACAAGCTCGACCGTGCACTTAATCGGTGCATGAGTTGCTCGAGTGCCACTCGAAATCATCGACATACCTTTATTACAACCCGAAAGTATGTTCCCATGCGGGGAATTATTTTAAATCCCGCGGCTCTGCACTACTTGCTAAGATGGCGGGCGTTGCGCAAAGTAGACGTTGCACCCAAAATGGCTGCTTTGTTATTTGTTATTTAGATTTAATTTTTAGCTTACCAGAGTGTGTTTTATTTAAGGACTCTTTGTTTATTTATAGCTTAATAGTAATTTAGAGTCTGTAGATAGACAATCAAATAAAAGATCTAATAAATATTAAACTAGTTTAAGTTACATATAAAATAACGTTTAAGTTCTATGCAAAATTGCATTTGATGCATTACCTGCAATTTATCAATGATCATCGATTAGAACGATAACAATTTCCTGTAATACATGATCATTTTTTTTCCAATTAAAGTTTCGTGAGCGATTTAGAATTTGTCAACAATAATATAAATAAATTTCCTGCATTTCTTGATCTCTTTCTTCCAGTTAAAGTTTCGTGAGCGATTTAGAACTTTTCAACAATAGTATAAATAAATTTCCTGCATTACTTAATCTTTTCTTTTTCAAGTTAAAGTTTCGTGAGCAATTTAGGGTTTTTCCACAATAGTATCACAGAATAGCAATTCAGAGGGCAAGATTCGCGAAGAGGTTTTAAAATGCTGAACGCATTTGCGAGCTGAACATAGACGCGCGACTAGAATACGTACGAGCGACTGATTTATCGCGTCTCGAACTCGCGCGAGTTCGCCGTCCCTTATCTACGCCATTATCTTGTGAATTAAAGAAAAATTGAACTTTCGTGGGTGCGTCCGTTTCCTCGTTGCACTGCCCGCGGCTGGGAAAAATTCTAGCCGTTGTTCTGCTGCTTTGCTGCACGCGCGCCTGCTGCAAACACGTTTCTACTTTCGAATACGTGAGAACGGTCTAGGGACATTTCTGTCTTGGACATTCTTTCTGCGTCTATCAGATACACACTCGGAAATCAGATTGGTAAATTTATTAGATTGATAATATGTGGTGATAAATTATGAAAGACTTCTTTTGTGCTTTGAACATAATTTAGTTCTGAAGTAAAATATTTAAGAATAATTGTGTATGAAGTTTGAAATAAGTAGGCTTCCTTAACCCCTGATTATTGTATTTTACAATAATTATACAAATTACAAATTACACAGATTATTGTGTATTTATGAATTCTGATTATGAATGGACATATTAGAATTTTATTATAAATATTTATAATTACAAATAGAATTATAGTTTTGTGTAAGCTGAACAAGAAATTATGATACAATAAATGTTCGCTTGAAATAAAAATATTAAGCAACATCAAAGTCTTGAAATTATGAACAAGTTATTATTTAACTGTATCACAAATTTATTTCATAAAAAAATTGTTACAACTGAATCTTTCGTAAAATTATCGAATAGAATTTTTTGTAAATGTATTATTCATTAAGTTTAGAGAAATAATTTGATAGTTCATTATCAAGTATTTGGCTCCAAAAGATAAAAATCGTAGATAATTTAAACGATAAAAATTCTCGAACACACACTCATTAAAATGCAACATATGTATCTTTCAAAGAGTATCTCATAAATTCAGTTTCTTCGCATTTGATCGAGCAGGTGAAAGAAACTTGTATAAAGAAGCTTAACGGAGACGAAAGGAAAATCGAATAAATTTTACTGATAAAAACGAGTATGGTAAAGTGCTTCCCACCGTTAGTTATTTGACGTCGATTAATTTCTCTAATGGCGCACCTTTCTATTCGTTTCAGAACGGTGAGAGGCTCTTCATTGGGGCGCCAGGAAGTTGGTACTGGCAAGGTAAGGTTTCTTCTTGGTTCTAGCTTCCAGGTACCATTTAGGTCGATTATGAAATAATCGATACTACCTTGAAACATGACACCGTGATAAAAAGATAATACTCTTGTAAATACACTTCTCTGTTTGATTTTTCAATGTTCGAAGGGGTTTAAGAATTTTAATTGGCTTCGGGCATTGAATTATCTTACGATTCGAGAAATATCTTCTAAAATAGAATCAAATATTCTATTTTACCTTTTTTGGATAATTCTAGCTGGTGACTGTGAGAAGAATATTTCTTTGTTCAATATGGAGGTCTTTTTTTAAGGAACTCTTGATAGCTTGTTTCGTGATCTTGGTATTTTTATTATTTAATCTATTGTCAGTTTAGAGTTGCAGTCTTTTTTTAAAATTCCTGCTAAAGTCAAGTTTTAAATTGAGTATAAAAATTGAACAGATAAAATCATCTTTAAATAATTAAAAATAAAATCGCCTTTAAATAATTGTCCTTAAATAAATGTCTAATGAAATCATGTATTAAAATGATTAAATGAATACATTATAAATATGTATAAAATACTCCATGTTCGAATCAATATGTTTCTCTAATTGTTTAAAACTGTCACAATTTTTAAAATTGAAACCTGTGCACAAAAATATTATTCTCGCAGTCAAACTTTACTCTGGGATCTAAATTTCTCTTCCGCCACAAAAGGTAACAATCGCAAGCAAAATCAAGCTCTCCCCAAAGCAAAATTCGCTTATCAAAATTCTCGAGAACCGCAATTGGATAAATCGGGGCTAATTGGTGAGAAACTGGGTCGCTAATAAAAAAGAACAGAATTCGAGCTTTCGTAACGCCTGGGCGATGGAACAGCAACACGAAAAAATATCGCGACGTACCGTTGGTCTTTTCCAGAGAATTTAGAGACTTTCGTTGAACGATTACAGGTCAGATATACTCGATCAGCACTGCTATGAGGTTGAAGTTCGTAGCGACGATGCTATTCACCCCCGAAGCAGAAATATCAGGTACCGCGTACTTGCAGGCGTAATCAGACATCAAAAATAAAACGAAAAATAAGAAACGTCGTTTAACAAGTCCCTATCCGTATTTCAAACCTCTAATCAGCTGCCATTTTGTTAACGACGGCGGCCATTAACACGTGTTGCTTCACGCTCGGAGACTCCCTCATCAAAGCCTATGAGACTTGACGGGCCAAAGCGTCTTATAACGAATTCTTCGAGTGCTTCGGATATCTTCGTTGCTTTCATAAATATACTCTAAAAATTCTACTTGAAGTTATAGTTTAATGGATAAGATTGGTGGAAGAGGTTAGGAGGCTGAAGGTTGACTTGCATTTAAAAAATACTTGCATTGCATATTTCAGAGAAATAAAGAATATGATTCTTTTTACAAGACAAAATTAACAGTAATTTATTTCTTATGTTTGAGTTAAACTTTTATTATTACTTGATGAATACACTTGGTATTATCATAGTTTGCTTATTAATTTTTCTTCTTGTATGTCATTTTTCTGGAACTTCTCTTATTTGTCAAATAAACACAAGATCGATTTATAAAAATTCTTCAGTTGCACTTTGAAACACGATTTCAAATATTCCAAAAAATTTTAAATTCAACTAATGAAAAAATATGTAAAAGAGCAGTCCCTCACGTCATTCACTTTGAGTCTCGATCTAAAAATTTCTGCAGCCTCAAAAAGCAAGAAAAAGCAACAGAGATTGTTTAGAAGCTTCACAGACGCTTTATCCCACAAAAAACGATCTACCCGATGTTTAAAATAAATCCAAAGTAATTGAAGAGTATCGCCATCGCATTCGACGTAAACTTTCCTCACACTTGCTTGGCAGTGGCCCTTGATTAATTTCCAGCAATTACATGTTCATCCGGCTTCCACTCATACGGTCCGCGATTAACAAAACGCCTGTGATTAATAATCCGATTGACGATTAATTCTTCGTGTGCTATTGTTTATTAATTACTGCCAGGTGAGTCGAGGGTGGCAGTATTTAACAGGTGCAGGCTTCTTGCAGCTTCGCTGTGCGGCCACAGCATAAAAATAATGAAGGCCTGTCTGAATAATATACTTAATAGTGCTCAAGAAAGAAACAATTGTTGTTTGAGACACGCTAATTATGGTTGCCTGGCAGTAGCACTGAACGGAATAATACCAGACACCTTATTATGAATAGAGATGCTTAGAAGCTAGATTAATGAGAACGTGGCTTAACTTTTTTTACTAGCGTGTATCTAAGTATTTTTGTCGTTATCTGACTGCGATTTTACCTGCGATTAACTGCGTTAGTCGTGTGTTTAGTGTGGTTTGATTATTCGGGAGTATCGAATATTCACTTGCCTAAATTCCACCTTTACAGATCCAGATGTAAAATTGTACATATGCAAATTTTACGGTACCAAATCCCTATGTGTTCAATTTCTACTTTTGCAAATTCCTATGCGTTCAAATTTCATCTTTTCAAATTCCCATATCCCCTAATTCTAGATTTCCAAATCCCTACTTGTCCAAATTCCTATGTGCCCAAATTCCACCCTTGCGAATCCCTATGCGTCCAAATTCCACTTTTGCAAATTCCTATGCGCCCAAATTGCACCCTTACAAATCCCTATGCATCCAAATTCCACTTTTCCAAATTCCTATGCGCCCAAATTCCACCCTTGCAAATTCCCATATCCCCAAATTCTAGATTTTCAAATCCCTACTTGTCCAAATTCCTATATCCACAAATTCCACCCTTGCAAATCCCTATGCGTCCAAATTCCACCTTTACAAATTCCTATGCGCCCAAATTGCACCCTTGCAAATCCCTATGCGCCCAAATTCCACTTTTACAAATTCCTATGCACCCAAATTCCACCCTTGCAAATTTCTATGCACCCAAATTCCACCCTTACAAATTTCTATGCGCCCAAATTCCACCCTTGCAAATTTCTATGCGCCCAAATTCCACTTTTACAAATTCCTATGCGCCCAAATTCCACCCTTGCAAATTTCTATGCGCTCAAATTCCACTTTTACTAATTCCTATGCGCCCAAATTCCACCCTTGCAAATTTCTATGCACTCAAATTCCACCCTTGCAAATTTCTATGCGTCCAAATTCCACTTTTACAAATTTCTATGCGCCCAAATTCCACCCTTGCAAATTTCTATGCGCCCAAATTCCACTTTTACAAATTCCTATGCGCCCAAATTCCACCCTTGCAAATCCCTATGCGCCCAAATTCCACTTTTACAAATTCCTATGCACCCAAATTCCACCCTTGCAAATTTCTATGCGCCCAAATTCCACCCTTGCAAATTTCTATGCGCTCAAATTCCACTTTTACTAATTCCTATGCGCCCAAATTCCACCCTTGCAAATTTCTATGCACCCAAATTCCACCCTTGCAAATTCCTATGCGTTCAAATTCCACCGTTCCAAATTCCCATATCCCCAAATTCCAAATTTCCAAATCCCTATGCGTCCAAATTCCACCCTTGCAAATCCCTATATCCCCAAGTTCTACATTCCCAAATCTCCACTTGCCCAACTTCCACCTTCCCAAATCCCTATATCCCCAAATTCTCCACCCCCAAATCCCTACTTCTCCAAATTTCACCTTTCTAAATTCCTACACACCCAGATTTCACATTCCCAAATCCCCACAATTTCCTAAACTCTGAAATTTAAAAATTCCCAAATTCCCTTATGTCCATATTCCCATATTCCCAACTCCATAAATCCTCAAACTCCCTTCTCCAACCCCCAACTCCTCAACTCCCTAATTTCCAAACTTGAAAAACTCAAAATACCTACCAAAATAAACATCCCCCAAAAGAACCCAAATTAACTTTGCCCCCAATTTAAATTTGCTCCCGAATTAACAAGTTTGCGAGTGAAATATCCAACACAGTTTGTACTTTGAATACCTCGAATTGTCAGTGTGTTTTTGAACCAGTGTTTGACTTAGAATATCCTCGAGTTAACATTCGCAGTCAGAAACGAAATTGTGTTTGGGAAAGTATGTGTCACCGAATCTCTTTTCGATCGGACTGTATCAATTGCCGCTTATTTTACAGGCCAAGCATTTTCACAGCCGCTACACAACCGTAAACTTATGTTCACGAAGGAGGGACCAGCAACAGAAGACGATAGCTACATGGGTTATTCCGTCACGACTGGTGACTTTGCTGGAAAAGGTGACAGCGGCACCGCGGTTGGTGTACCTCGTGGCAACGAACTTCTCGGCAAAGTATGCTCATGAAATATTAACACGTAATTCTGTAGAAAAAATGACAATGGAAAATGCCACTGTCGGAAATCTTCCAGTGAATGTGTTCTTTAGTTATTCTGAGAGAAACTTTGATAGTCATTTTCCTTGTTCGATTAAGTGAAACGCTAAGTCAACAATTAAGTTATTATTAGAAATGCTGGATAGTCAGAAGGAGTTCTTTTCTGATTTCATATTTTTTATTTCAAAATTTTAGTGTACCTTTGGTTGGAATTTTTGGTGAGATTTGTGAAGATAAATTTTGCAAATTGTAGATTATTTTTTATTTGTTTATTTTTCACTTCATTTGCAAAGTTAAGGGTATGGTTAATTCTGGTAGTTATAATGTTAATTGGAGGCTGAATATAAGTAGACAGTTCACGTTGAGTATGAATATTCATATGTTCAGTACATGTCCACATATTTATCACATGATGAGTATGAATATTTATTCATATACTAAGTTATGAATATTTATTTACATGTTGAGTATGAATATTTCATTACATATTGAGTTATAAATATTCATATACATGTTGAGTTATCAATATTTATTTACATGTGGAGTATGTATATGTACTCACATGTTGAGTATGAATATTTATTTACATACTGAGTTATGAACATTTATATGCATGTTGAGTTATCAATATTTATTTACATGTGAAGTATGAATATTTACTCACATATTGAGTATGCATATGTACTCACATGTTGAGTATGCATATGTATTTACATGTTGAGTATGAATATTTATTTACATACTGAGTTATGAACATTTATATACATGTTGAATTATGAATATTTATATACATATTGAGTTATGAACATTTATATACATATTGAGTTATGAATATTTACTCACATGTTTAGTATGAACATCTATTTACGTATTCAGTTATGAATATTTACATATGCATAGAGTATAAACACTGATTCATACATTAAATAAATAACAAAATAAACTATAATTAATAAGTAAATATTATTTATTAAGAATGAATATAATTGTAGGTTATACTCTTCACCTCAAACATGACGAATCCCCGTAACATCACTGGTGTACAAATGGGAGCTTATTTCGGTTACGCTGTCGCTTCCGGTGATATCGATGGCGACGGTTTAGACGATCTTATAGTTGGAGCGCCTATGTACACCATACCAGATAACCCGGAAATGACCATCGAGACCGGAAGGGTGTATGTTTACTATCAAGGCAATGAATCTCCAAAATTCCTCAAAGTAGATACTAGGTATGTCATTTCCTTTTTTAAATTACATTATAATATTTATTACTTGAATTATTATGCAAAACGTTGTCTACATGGTGACTCTGAAAAACAGGACTAGAATTTTATGAAATATGATGATTTTCAAATTTTGTGATCAATTTCAAGATTATTAAATTTCTATATTTTCAAATTTGTAAGTGTAGAATTTTCAAATATCAAAATTTAAGTTCTTAAATTTCAACCTTTTACGTTACATCTCTCTAAATTCTCAAATTTCAGTCCTCAACTTTCCAACCCTCTACATTCTCAAATTTCTAGATGCCCAACTTCCTATTTTTCTAACTTCTCAAATTTCTGAATCTCTAACTTCTCACCTTCGTAAATTCTCAAATTTCTAAAACTTCATCTAAATTCTCCAATTTCTCATTCTCCATAAATTCTCAAATTTCTAAATCTCCATCTTTCCACGTTCCTAAGTTCCTCTTATTTCTCATCTGACTTTCCAAACTGTCCTAGAGAAGTCAAATTTGCTTCCTCGCTCCGCGAATTCCACCCAGAAATATTTGAGACCCAACGGACCACACAGATCGTTGAACTCTAGCGATAATTACTTATCGTTATCCAGGGACGGGGAGAGCAACCGCGGTCGATTCGGTTTGTCATTGGCCTCTCTGGGGGACATCGACCGTGACGGCTACGGGGACTTCGTGGTAGGTGCTCCTTACGGTGGTCTTCGTGGTCGTGGCGCCGTGTACATCTACCACGGTTCACGAACCGGCGTCCTGGAGAAATATTCGCAGGTGATCTACGCTGAGAACCTCGACATGCCCGTGTCCACCTTCGGCTTCTCAGTGTCCGGTGGCTTGGATCTCGACGGGAATCGGTATCCAGATCTGGTAGTCGGCGCCTACGAGTCTGCCAGCGCGATGTTCTTCAGATCTCGTCCTGTCATCAAGATGGATTCCTTCGTGTCGTTCGGTTTGCAGTCAAAATTGATCTCGTTGGACGACAGGAACTGTACTTTGTCTAGCGGAACCAGGGTCACCTGCCTCCTCTTGAGGGCCTGCTTCAAATATAACGGCGAGGGTGTCTTCCCCAGACACCGGTTCAACATTCAGTACGTACTGGACGTGAAGAAGATGAAGACTCCGAGGATGTTCTTTTTGGAGCTGGAGGACACGAACGTCATGAATCGCACTATCGAGGTGGAGCAGGATCGAGAGTTCTGTAGCATGACTCAGGTAAGCTGTCTAAGATTTACTCTGTAAATGGGACATGTATGTATGTATTTTATTTTCTGATAAGAGAGCGCGTCTGAGAGGATTTCCTCTCAATTTGCCCTAGATGGGACATATCCCAGTGACAAATCGGCTCTTTGTTCATAGGTGTACGTAACGCCGAACATACGTGACAAACTGACGTCACTCGACGCGGAGATGCGAATGAGTCTAGCAGAGGAGCGTCTGGAGGACAATAGACCGAGGGACCCCAGATTCCCCTTGCGGCCGATCCTCGGCTCGACGACGTCCAGGAAGGACTCTCTGTCCATCAGAAAGAACTGCGGCTCCGACAACGTGTGCATCCCCGATTTACAGATGTACGTGTCGTCGAACGTGCACAAGTACCTGTTAGGCTCCGGCAAGAAGCTGGAGTTGGATGTCTTGGTGCAGAACATAGGCGAGGACGCGTTCGAATCGACGTACAACTTGAGGCTGCCCTACGGTATCGATTACATCAACGTGGAGAAGATCGAGACTATGGGCATACCCGTGCAGTGCTCGGCCCCTAACAAACAATGGAACAATAATACTCTTCGTTGCGACATCGGTAATCCGTTGCCGAAGCAGGGAATAGTCAAGTTCAAGGTGCTCCTGCAACCGGTCACTTCCCACGGGATGAAGCCGATTTATGAATTCGAGATGGATGTTAATACCACTAATCCCGAGAACAATTCGACCACCGGGGATAATAAGTACCTCATGAAGCTCCCGATTTGGATCGAGACGGATCTACAAGTGGACGGCGAGAGCAAACCCAAAGATTTGTACTATAACCCGGATAATTATACGAGTGAGACGAATGCTACTACGGAGGCGGAGTTTGGACCAGCCGTGACACATAATTACACCATACGGAATCAGGGTCCATCGGAGGTGATCGAAGCGGAGGCTTTCCTTATTTGGCCGGCGCAGACGCTCGCTGGAAATGAATTGTTGTATCTATTGGAGCAGCCAGAAACGTCGGGGAGTATTCAATGTGAATCTGCCAATGCCAATTATCTTAGTTTGAAGGTTTGTTGCATTTTATATATTTTAGGAAGTGGAGGTGGATCGAATCATTCTGTAGCGTTGAACAATATTCAGTGAAATTTTCATATTTGCAAACTTCTGAAGAATTATAAAAGTTTCGAATCTTTAACCCCTTGCACTATGACTTATTTGTCAGGCGCGTCAGTTAAAACTGTCTAATTATAGCTACAATATTAAAATAGACAAAAAAATTGAAATGTTATGTCAATATGTTATTATTCAATAGTTAACTATGCAAATTATAATTAGACTTGAACTCCAAATTGAAGCGTAGTAAAAATTTGAGTAAAATTGATCACGGCCGTGGTACGAGTGCGTCTAACTCGTCAAAACAGTGCAAGTTAAGTTCCCTTCCAGGTTCACGTTCCTCAAATTCATAAATTTTGTATGAAATTACAGATGATAGAACGCAAAAGGACGTACTACCAACCGTACCTTGCAGGAGTGAGCATGCAGTCGCAATCAGGCCAAGGTATAAACGTGCAAAGCGGCTTCGAACAAGAGAAAAGCAAGTTGAGCCAACACGAAGAAACGGAGATCAACACCGGGGACAGTTCGGACATCCAAAAGATACGTCACTCCTCAACGTCGAACGTCGTCACCAACGGGAGTAGGGTGACACAGTCAACCGGAGGGCAATCAGTGCACCTAACTTACACGCAAAACAGCTCTAGAACCGGGTCCATGAACACTGGAAGCCAGACTTCCGGTACCAGCGGCGCGATTTTGTACTCGCAGTCTGGTAGCACCGGTGAAGCTGTAGGCGGAGTTTTCCGTGGAAACGAGGACAACGTTTTAAGACCATCCGAAGATTACGGTCAGAGTCAGACTACGTACGAGAATCGGTACGGCGGCCATATTGGTTCCTCTTCAGGCGGCGAGTGGAGGCAGCAGGAGCATCGTCAGGAAGATCGAACACAGTATGAGCGAAGGAAAGAGCAACTCGGTCGACCGGAAGAACGTCCGAACTATGCGAACAGACAGGAAGACGGTTACCGACAGGAGAACCGCTTTAGAGTCACTTCCGAAAGTTACGGAGCTGTTGGGGGTGGTTTTGTCTCGGGAGATCGGGAGGACTCCATCAGAGGAGGAGAATTCGGGTTCCAGCTGCGCAACGTTAGCTCCAAACAAGACCTGGAACAGTTATTCGGCTCCCTGTCGAGGACGGCGGTATATGAACTGCAAAGTGGACGACGTAAGAATTACGTGCGGTTTATGGCTAGGTTCAGAAACTCCGGTGACAGGAAGGAGTACATAGAATTGCAGGACGGCTCCATATTCCCTCTTCAAGATCAGTACGGAAATGACAGCTACATGTCCAGCGATCCCAAGGACGGTCGATTCTTTATGATGGAGGGTGAACTGTTAATCGACTCCACTGGTAAGAAGAGGTACATAGTTCTGAAAGATGGCCGGAGGTTCCTTGTAGAAGGCTCCTTTAGCTATTCGGAGGAGCGGACGATCACCGTGGAGGACCCACGGTACCAGTCAGGCTCGAATCAGTACGATTCTAAAAGCTACAGCTCGTCCTGGAACGAGGAAGCCGAACGAGCTCGCGTTGCCGAATACGAAAAGCAGTACGAAGAAGTATACCGCAGAACCCACGAAGAGAGGAGGACGGAGGACAGAACGATGACCAGTAGAATTTACGGGAGAGAGAATCGTGGAGCCGATGGCACCGTAACTGACGTTCCAAATTCGGAACCCAGGTCCAAGCGCGAGAGCGACATGGTGGAGTTGAAGGACTTCAAAAAATTCGAGAGTCTCCAAAGAAGTCCTAGAGACCTGGCGAAAGACCCTGCAATGCTTGGCACACTCGGCGGACAAACGGACTATGAAAATAATATGAAGCCACAGGAACCCACGGGTCCATGTGACGCCGCGAAGTGCGTAATGCTGAAGTGTGTTCTGGGTCCTCTGAAGAAGGACGAAGAAGTCTGGCTCGTCGCCAGATACAGGGTCGACGCGAGGACCTTGAAGAAGGCGGCTCCTCAGGAAAAAGTGAGGGTCTCCACTAAACTTGTTGCTCAAGTCACCAAGCAACAGTACATTGGCACACCTGCTGAACAGGTGGTCAAAAGCCACGAAATCAAGACGAACGTTGCACCTAGCAGCACGCCATCTGCACCGGATGTCATTCCGCTATGGGTTGTGGTTCTCTCCGCTTGCGCTGGAACGATCATTTTGTTGCTGCTTATTTTCCTTCTTCACAAGGTTTGTTCCAGATGTTTATTTATAAAGATCTTTCCTGACTTTGTACTCTTACATTCTTGTGAATTTATAATGTTCACATTTGCAGATCTATACATATATCTGTCAGTGTCTTTATGTTTCTATATCTCCCCTGAAATATTATTAATAACACTGTGTATTATATTTACTATCTGTATTATACTATCTATTTTAATGTATTATATATCTATGTAAAAGTGTAAAAATTACAGTACCTTTATTTCTCTCCCACAGTGTGGATTCTTCAAGAGAAATAGACCGTCCGACGCTCCAGAGAGGCAGCCGCTGAACAGGAATGGCCACTTCCAGCAAGGAGACGACCACTGAAAGTTTAATCAGTGGAATCGAATAAAGAAAATGTCGAACGACCACAATCGAAACGAACGAGCAAAGTGCCTTATTCTTTCACGAGGAAGCGGAACCATGCACTGGCTGTGCCTGTATGCACATCACGCTCGTCGAACTGTAATATAGTTTCCGTGGCGAGTAACGAAGCATAATTTCAATTAACAATTCGCGAGTGCCTTGATCTCCAGGCCAGAACGAAGAAACTGCTATATATAGGGTGAATTGTGGAAGCGATTCTGCGATCTTATTTTTTATTTCGACTGCCACAGAATACTCTTTTCCAGCTCCTGCAGCTCGACCAAGCAAGTTTCTAGTCAGGAGACGTCTTCTTTTTCCTTTAATTTTTTTTAATTATATCTACTTAAGCCGCCCGTTCATCGACAGTGATGTTTTTCAAATTTCTACTTTGTAATTCCAGCGTGAGATTTTAGGAAAATTGTGGCCATATTTTAACTTTAGAGGAGCTTGAATTTTTGCTTTTTGATCAATTTTGTAGGAGGCTTAGATATAGAAATTAAAGATGCGTGATAATTTTTAGCTACGCTCTTCTTCGAATTATGGAAATATGTTGATGTGATTATTTGAAAATTTATACAATTTTCTGGCATTTTATCCGGTGTCTATTTACCAGTTACCATTTTGGTAATAGTACTTAAAATGGCCGCAAGCATAGAATTTTTTAGCGGAATAGCGATTTTAAATTCGAAGAAGGGTTCGCTCTCAAAATGCTTCATTAGGGAACATTTCAAACTGCCATAAATAATATTTAAGAAAAATCTTCTTATCACAATTTTTGATAAAATATTTACCTTTCGATCATAAAGTTTAATCGCTCGATTTATGTTGACAGATCTCAATCATCGTCGCCGACAGACGATTCATGTTTTCTCTTTAATTTCTGTAAAATATACAAACGGTCTCGAGAACGGGGATTTTCGATTATTTATTGAATTTTTACGTTATTATATGTATATGTAACGTATGATAGAGCGCCGTAACATGAACGGGGCTTGCCCCGTGTGTATGTGTGTACAATTTTGTAAATTATTAATTGTATTACTAAAACTGTTCAGAGAGGAACTAGCTAACGCTGAATAATAATATTAATAATTGTGTAGAGAATAAAAAAATTTCCTGAGAAAACGGGAAGGTAGAACTGACTTGTATATACAGACTTAAGATGTAATATTAAAAAAAAGAAATATATATATAATATTATTAATACGAATATCATGTTTTGTTTCTGAACATAAATTTCATAGGTTAAACAAATTCTTTTAAAAATTAAGACGATTTAAATTAATTTTTAATGGAGCCATTACAAAGTAAATGGAAGAATTTTCCTTGGTATCATTTATTTAAAAAAAAATCACAATGACGCAACAGTAGTAGACATAAAACAAATGCATGGTTACTATTAACATGTGCCATTATTCATTTTTACGTCAGGTGTATAAATTGCGTTTTCCTTTCATTGTGTAGTCAACGTGATAAGTTTTACACACCAAACGATAAGAAAACTGTTTCACATATAAAAAAATATATGCTTCGATAATCTCCTTTCGTTCGATAGATTTTGACGGTATTTTTCCTCTCACACTTTCTCTTTTTTTTCATTGATAAAATATATATAAAAATAATCTATGAATACAATCGTTTTGTAAAATATACTACCGTATTTCATTAAATACTCTTCTGGGTTTCGAGAGTCTCGTAGAAAAGGACCGTTTAGAAAAATGTTTGGTTCTCTCAATGATTTTTTTTTTCGTCGACAGATCAATGAATAAAACGGCCTCGCGAGCAGAACTGAAAATCCATCATTGGACGAAGTAAATCTTATTTAAAAAATGTTCCTTCCTTTTTTTGTTCTATTTTCTAAGATTTCTCTCGTTCTCGCGAACTTGTCGCTCGACTAAAACGACGGTACAAAAGACGATACTCTATAGAAAAGATACACATATAAAACGAAAAACCATGAAATGTGAACCTTTGACAAAGGTAATACCCCATCCAGAATTATTGCTAGAAACACTAACTATCAATTATATACATGTACTGTTAACGCGGTTACCGATCAGGATGGACGCGTGTTGCCGGTTGGAATACATAGTGAAATTAAAATAAATACGCGTAATCTTACGGGCAGTTTCGGGATCGACACTGCTCTTCATAAAACGCTAATGTGCTATCGGACAATATGTACAAGCTTGCCATTGAAAACATGGCAAATTCATTTCTAAAAACAAAAAGAAGCACGATCAACGAGAATCTTCGTTTCCTATTAAGCTTCTTCCGGATAATTTACAGTGATCGGTCACGGGGTCTAACTAAAACAATTATGATTAACGTTTATACGGCGAATGTTTTTTTTGACGAACAAGTACAGTAGAACCCCACGTATTTGTACATTTCAGAATTTATAAATAATTCGGACGTTCAGTGGTGACTGAATTTTATGTTTAATAATTTCCAGAGTCGAGCATCTTTTACTTTCTTTTGTATAATGTTAGAAAACATACAACTGACAGCGAGATAAATGTGGACCCTCAGTACTGATATTTACGATGAGAATAAAATCATAGTCTTATGCTTTAAGAGCAACAAACTGTGCCCATGTTCTGTATAGTTAAATTGAATTACGCAAAGATTCAGTTTATTCTCTGCCATGTAGTAATATGCTTTAAAAATATCTTATTTGTATAATTATGATGCTCGACAATAGTTTTGATAATAAAAATTCGATAGTACGTTTGATAATTACTTAGATGTCTGCTTCCATTGCGATGTCCTTGAAATATGTTACAAAGGTTAACATTCTTAGTCATTTTTTTCTATACACATAACTCATTTGTCGTTCCCGCAATATTCATAAAAATATTTTTGATATTTTCAGTTTGATATAGGTTAGGTTTGATCGAGGTTAAAACAAAATTAGCCTAACCTAAACTTAGCTCCTCATAACATACGAAAGCATAATTCAAGAGCATCGAAATCAGTGAACAAACTTCTAAATAATTATCGTTCGAATTATCGAATGCTTGCTAAAATTTCATTTTGCTAGAATGGAGTTCTATTGTACCGTCGTAGTTGAATACTAAATGACAATGCAATTGTACCCGTAATCATTTCAACGCTCAAGACATCACCACACTTTACCCTCAGGATTTTCTTAGTTTCTACACACGAATAACCTTGCTTGAAAGGGAGGAACGCGTGATTCTGTCGCGAAACGATGGAACGGATCCTTTGAAGTATAGCGATCGAATTAACATTCAAAGTCACCGTCTAAGCTTCGTTATCGTTGCACAGTACAACCGAATCGTGCACCTCCTCGTGAGAGTTATCCTCGTATCAGCTATCCGGAACCTGCAGAAAATTCTTATTTGAAGTATTTCATTTTTAAAAATAACTGAGCCAACTTACCTTCCACTGCATCTGACTGCCGACATTGTAAAGTTCCTTCAACGATTCAGCCAACTTACCAGAGCTTTCTAGCTCTTTGTATTTGCGATACAATTCGAGCGCAGCTCGAGCGTCTTCGGCTGAATCATGCGTCTCTGACTGAATCTTCTTCCCTAGAAAATGCCACGTCAGAAAACGCAGTGACACCATGCGATGGTGAGGTAAATGAAACAGCAGTACTGTGTCTACGATCTGTTCAGGTGGTACGACTAAGTTTATCACTCTGCAAAAGTCAATTATTTATTATAAGCAGGATATTAAAGATACAATACTTTATAAGTATGGATTTGTAAGTACTGATCCTCACCTAAAATCATTTTTTAAACCATGACCAACAAATATGATTCCATTATCGACCAAAAACCGCAATTTCTGGTACGTTGACTTCAAGGTGGTTAAGTGTTTGCTGCTAAAGTTGGCGTCCAAATCGCCAGGCTGAATTCCACTGAATTTTGTTAGGTAGTCAACCACTTGTTCTTGGGTGCTTATGTAGTCGTCTATGAAGGGAGTACCTTCCAAGGGACCTTGCCTATTTTAAAACACATTAACAACATTCTCTGGATTGAAGAAAATGAATTAATTAAAACATGAATCAATCAGTACACACCCTCGTATGCAAGTTATCCGAGCTACAGACATATGGCTCGGTTTTATAGTGGACATTTTTCCATCGCTCCGCAGCTCAGACTCCTCTTGATTCAACGTAACGAACTCCGCATCAATTCCTACCAGTTCCCCTGTAATAAAAGTTTCAGCAACTATCATATATATTTCACACTTCAATTAGCTTGTCGAGATGTCTTTCAGCGGCTGAGACCTTTTTTAGGCATTTCGTCGGATGTCAACGGTGTGAACGTGATACCCCTCGTCCCTCCGCTGCGAGCTATACATTTATCTTCCCCAAATACGTCGTAAGTAAGGGGACTGACGAAAGGGGCTGGCTCGGGTGCTGGTACAGCGGTATAATGAAGAACACAAGGGACTTTCCAGTCCAAATTGAACCAAACTGCTTCTTGAGGCGTCACGGCTGATATACTAAATTAAAAACATTCAGTGCATTTATTTATATGGATGGCTATTTACCACATTAAATATGTGATTTATCAGCAGATAATTCACGTACCAGAAGTCGTTGAAAATATACCACTGCGACACTGCGCTGCCAGCAGATCGTTCGTGATAGCTTGGCCCAACTCTCAGCAGCGCAACAATGTTCCTTCTGTCCTCGTTGTTTTTATCGTCGATGTAACAGACAACCGCACTAAGACTATACTGAATTTTGCTATTCTTAACCGAATGCTCCTCGGTGCTATCTGATCCTTCGGCGTCTCCGGTATCTGACCCCGCGATAACATGATTTTCAGCCTCGGAGTTCTGCTGAGTCACCTCGAAATCTTGATCTTTACCATCGCCTTGTCCATTTTCTACCACGACCTCGGTATGCTTGCTACTACTTTCACTGTAATCGCTCCTTGCACTGTTCATCTTCTCCACGCTTAATTCACCGTTACTGTTCAGGGAAATTTCAATGTTGTGAGGAATCCAGGAATGAGAGTAGTACAGGTGACTAGGCGGCGGTGTAGCCACGGGAGTCGAAGAGACCGTGGGTGGTGTGACCGGTGGTGTCGTTAAATTTTCTATTAGACAGAGAAAAGAACAAGTTTTGGGACATTGTTGAATTGAAATATGACGATGAATAGATCACAGTACCTGAATCTCTTCCAACGTGTCTGAATCTGCATCCAATCCGGGTGCAGTTGTTACCATATCGACAAGGCTTTACGGTTACAGGTACGGGACTCGTGGATGGGCTACTTTCCTTCCCGCTTAAAACTTTTTGGACCACTATATCCATCTGCGTTTGCCAAAACACTTTATCCTAAAAGGTAATTCAAGGTTTAAAAACGTGATGCTATTATATATTCTTGCGGTTTACAAGGTGCAGTCGTGAAATAATTATTATTCTGTTGTATACTTTGATCTCTTAAATATATTTCATTGAATGACCGCTTCAAGTAAGACCGCTTCTAACGCTACTTTGTATATTTGTGTTTGATGTACCTGCTGTGTGTCTAGGCCACAGTTCAGAGCCAGTATTTGAGGTAGTTTGGTTAATTGTCGAGATTGTAGAGTGGGTGTAAATTTCTGACAACTGTCACACCATGCAGGTGTAATTTTCTCGGGTCTTAAACTGCGGGCAAGAACACTCGTAAACGGAACCTCCTCTGCTATAAAGGGTAAAATTGATTCGTTTCAATCAGGAAAGACCAGTATGTATATGTAGTGCTTGAAGAATGGCTTACAAGGGTGCGTTAATTCTGGATAAACTAAGTTACACAGCAACATGATGGAATGTTTCGTAGCTTCTTGCCCACATTTGAGACAGCGATGTATGTGCATTTGTTCGGATCCAAATAGTCGACTGATCTCTGTCTCTTCGTCTCGTACTTCGTTTTCTTCTATAGACTTTTTGTTGTTCTTATCTATTCATGATAAATAGCTGTGTCAGTTTTTATCGAGTATCTACGGTTTTATGTTCAATCGTATAAGATTATGGAATAAACGAAAAATAATACTCTTTACAGGGGTACACCATTGTTGCGGTAAGAAAAGGACTATGTTTCTTTGGATTTGTATCGGCAATGCGTTGGTTAAAATTTTTTAAAATGTTATTACTAAAATATTTTTCATAAATAATACTAAATGGATTTATAACAAAATTATAGATATACTTTGTAACAAATATTTTCTTAGATTCATGACTGATTTTTTTTAAATTAAAACATTGCCGATGCTCACGGAATTTGAACATAATATGCCATGCATTCGCGAAAAGCAATACTCCTTTCCTATAAAAAAACACAAAAAAATCAGTTTACATAAAAAATACTTCAACAAACAAAGTCTATTAACAACCGCAAAATAATAATATACTTCTGTATATTAAACTATAAACTTCTCTCGATATTCATTGGATAAACAATCACATACAAAATGAAAAATAAACACAAAAAGTGCCCAATGAAAAGGTTACACATGAATTGTGTTTACCTTTCGATGTGATCCACATATATTTACCATCCCCTTCTTTCTTCCTCCTCTTTTTCCTTTCTTCGTCGTGACTCCTGTACCGAGAACCGATGTCCTGCAGGATACTCGGAAAGTCCTGTTCATTGTAGACAAATGGTGGACACTGAGAACCGCATTTAAGGCGAGCAGCTTCCTCCTCCTTTTGCTGTCTCTTCCTCGTCTCCAATATTTCGTAGTGAATTTGATGTAGAATGAATCTATTCCAGCTCTGCAAGGAAATTTAGTTTGTTGGGGAATTTCTAACATTTTTACCACGAGGAATTTTTGACTTTTTAGCAGGTGGAAGATTTGATGGAGAATAGGATTATTTTTGTTTTTATTTAATATCAAGGATATAGAGGATATAGGTTATATGAATTTGGAAGGATAAGGAATGACAATATAGCAATACAACACACATACATTTTTCATTTATAAAATACACATTATACAACATAACATTTTACACATAATTAGCTGCATGTACACCTCACTCATTACTAACAATACAATCTTAAAATCACATAACCATTCAAGTTCACAAATACAAACGTATTCAACTTTGTTCATAAATCATTCTTACTCCTTTATTTTCAACTGGTATAAGTAAACATTTTCTCAATATTTTTACCGAGAGAAGTACAGCAAACTTTCTCTAACATTTCTCCAAACAAACTTGAGCACACAACCTTGCACAGCAGCAACTTTGCACACCATCTAGCACGCCTTTACCTGTATCAATCTGATCAAATTTGTCTTCCTCTTTGCTTCAGGATGCAGGTCGCTGAGTATGAGTCCCAACGCCGCTGCCTCCGGGACGGTTCTGAAGGCTCGAAGAAAATTAGCAGCCTGACAAGGCAATCCCCGGGATGTGTCCAGCATGTGGAACAGGAAACCCAATTCGCAGGAAAGGCAGAATTCTCTTTGGCACGAATGAGACAGCAACGCTATCCTCACAGACTCGCAATAGTAGAGCAACTGCAAAAAGACAAATGAGTATATGATCTTGAAAGAGTACTTTGAATATTTGTGTACTTACCTGCAACATGCCGTTGCAATAACTGTTGGGAAGTGTAGCTTCCAAGCCACAGAAGCTGGTGTGATTGTACTGATCAAAATCGAACTCATCGTAACCGAGACGTGAGTATTTCACCTCGATTTTACGGTAACGTTTAGGTATGGCCACAAAGGTGCCGTCATCGGTTTTAGATCGGGAGTCCCCCGCGAAAAGCTTTGCGACTACACCACGTCGTTTTTCCAAATTGTAAGGTATCTGTAAAAAAGGTATTATTTATTTTTCTTCAACTGCCGAATATTTGTCTTTTATTGAATCGAATCTTGGCGCGAATGGACATTACAATTCGATGCATAGCGCGTACCGTGAAAAAATAAATAATACCTATTGAAGACGCGTGGGACCGAGCCAATAAGTTAGGCTTAGTATGTCTTACAACCTTTATTTCACTCAAATACAACTTCGATTATTACATTTTTAGAGAAATATATTCTATATAGGCATTAGGTGTACTAAAACTATCCATTGAGCACAAATCATTAAACGAAATGCATCGATTACAAAAACGCATTATTTAACACGAAATTAAAGGCAGTATTTCCTTTCACGCTGGTTGAGATTCGACAATAATCTGTAATCAATTCTCGACGGATAAATCCACGACACTTTATTCGCAGTTTCACGAACACGGTTTAAATGCATAGTAAAAAAAAAAAAATAAAAAAAAGAGAAGAGAAGAAAAGATATGCATGCATATTTCTCTTATAGTTTTAAATTCGAGACTTTTGATATTTGGAAGCCGAAGTCTCGAATTTAATAAAGATCTCAAAAATTTGCACCGCAATTTGTAATATATTTTCATTCTTCCTTGTACTTAAGGTAGGTTTCAAATTATAGTATCAGACTTATTTAACACGTTCAAACATGTAACTAAACTATACTGAAGATTATGAAATGCAGTTATGTACAACGTTGTTGGAGCACATTTATTACTTCTGCTAGAGCACAGGCACATGGTTGATCTGTGTTCATGAAGAGATAGTTGAAAAATTATTGCTTTCTGAAAGTATTGAGGCAAATACAACCACTGCATACTTACACAGCCATCACATGAAATCTTAAAAATAAAAGTCAACTGTGGTTTAATTCTGTTGTGATAATAGTGGCGAGCACGCTAGGCTTCGCCATGACAAACATGCTTGATGTATCAGAATAATCTTTAAAAACTTGAATCAGTTAAAAATTAATAAATTTACAAACGTCTATATTGCGGCTACACACTCTTAACCTTCAGTAGTAACGAAATCAACCAAATGTATTCGTCTAAAATTTCCGATCACGTTCTTGGTGTAGTACTGTCACTTTTCTAAACACAGCACTAGTACAACAGTCACTGAAGATGTTCACTAAAGTTAAGAGAAAAACATTCAGTGTGTAGTATAGATTTTCATACATCGTAAAAGAAATCATTAGAATACTGTGGACTAGTTTATGAAAATATATCACGATCTCTTAAGTTGTTTATGGACTACAATGTTTATCACGAAACGTTATCAGTCTTAATCACATCGTATTTTGGCTTCCCTATGAAATTAAAAGCTCCAACCATATTGAACTTTATTCGTTACAATACATTACTCTGATTGCATCAACTGGTATGAGTATACTTCATCGTGAAAGCTATAATGAAATTAATAATAAAAATATACCTCTTAGGCAAAAAAATATCTTCTGTATAGCTCACTCAATTGGTAACACACTATGTGTGCCAATGCGTATGAAATGTACGATTAAAATAGAACGTAACTGTACATTTCATACAAAATCGAAAAAAAAAATCAAGTTTTTCAAAAACGATTTCAGTAGTTCAAAGATAGATGAGGTTCACAACGGTTGGCAGTGACAATTCGTTGTGTTCCAACTAGTAATAAGGAATTTAAACATCAAGAACGACATAACCTATTTTACATAACCATAAAATAGGAATTACGGGAGACACTCGTACAAAGGAGAAACTGGAAGTTCGGACTTTAGGACAGTTTTAGGAGAGTTGGGGAAGTATATTGTAGAAGAGTGGGAGAATATTGTTTCCTCACTTGATTTCTGCGAAATGCCTGAGGATTTGGGGCATAACCTATTGTTCCTTGCATCTTCATTGTGCGCAGAATTTCAGGATCTATTGCTGGTGTTTTCCTGTAAAATCATTAGAATTTTTGTATTAAACATCTAGATATAGGGATGGTAATTAGGCGCTACTGTATTCCATTTTTCAACAAATATTTACCTATACACTTTTCTCAGATACTCTTCTGGCCAATCACTTAATAATGGATGTCCAGTGTAAATAATTGGTATTGAACTGAATGGTGTAATATCATCATCAAATGGTATACATTGCAGTGATTCAACTGGATCTGCAAATTCTGTTGGCCTAGATAAATAAAGATAGGATCATATTTCTGTATTCTTTACATTAGATAGTTCTGATTCTTGAGCTTTATCTACTAACCGAGAAAATGTGTTGAACTGAGGCTCAGGTGTATTTGTAGACATAAGATGTATAGAACCTGCTGAATCTCCAAAACAAAGACACTGAGATGTAGAGGACACATCAAATGATAATATCATTGCACCACCAGTAGCAATCTATGAGCACAAAAACATTTATGTACACTATGTAGAAGAAAACTTTTTGGAAATATATTTTGGATATAACATTTACCTGATACAAGCATGTCATTGATGGTTGGACATTAGCATAGATAGTATCAAGCAGTTGCATTTGTCCCAAGGGTGATACAACAGCTAAACGACTGGAATAACTGGGTAGGAACTTTAAAAGGAGAGGATACACTAGTGTTGTAACAGGACTTAATGCTCTCATTTGTCTCAAATCATATGCCATTAAGAACCGATCTACTGATAGACCCTGTCGGCTAAACCCATAAATGGAATTGGTTAGAAATAAAAATTTAAATGTAATGGTATTTCATGTTACATAGAAAAGTGAAAATATTGAAATCTCACCTGTTACTAAAACCACAGGTAACAAGGTAATTTCCCTGAACATCAAAATCACTTAGGGAACCACTATGGGTATCAAAAGTATGTTCTATTGATAATGTATTTGGATCCCTGAGATCAATTCTTCCTGCAGGATTACCAGCACATATAAGCCTACTATGCTGCCTCAAAATTGCACAACCATTTTCACCCACATGTACCTATAAGTACAGAAGAGGTACTGATGTATGTTCAAACAGGAATATTATTTTATCACTATACAAAGAAACTTACTAAACCAGTTTCTTTTCCTCGAGTAAGATTAAAATCAATTATTTTTTCTTGATGTCCCCCCATAAGTAATCTGGTTGGTGAAATTTGGAGCATGCATTGCATATCCACCATATTTGGTGACCTGTAATATTATTTCTATTTATATACAATGTCCATTTATTTAATACCAGCAACATAATATTAACATACATATGCGTAAATATTGGTATGCCTCGTCGCAATTGGCATCTTAACAAACTTTGAGTTAGAACTAAAATTCCCTCATCCAATGGGTGAATATGTCGAACTTCTTGCGTAGCGTGTACTTGAAAAGATGTATACTTCTGTAAGCCAGCTCCATAATAAGATGTTACGTGACCCTATAAAGCATCATTTTTCATCCATGCATTTTTCAATTTGATAATTCCAAATATGTATTTTATTAAAATATTTTCAAAACATTATAAATTTATCGGATATATAAAATTATATAAGCATTAACAAAGCAATCTAAAGTAAACGATAAACAGGATTAGACAAAGTCCTGTAATAATAAATATCACAATACCCCTTGATTCCCCATCCACATAAGTTCCTCGACATTATCAAAAGTGGCAGTGGATACTCCGAACCTATCCCCCCCATCAGCAAGTAAAGTACGTGTCTCATGAAACTCAGCTCCCAGGAAATCTTCTCCGAATTGTTCAGCTGCAGGTAAATATTCATCGCCAAGAAAGACATAATCTGATTCTTCCCCTGTAATAAAAGATGCAGAAAATTGATATTGAAAAATCTTTCAGATATTGTTATCGATAAAATGTTTAAACGTAACTTGTGATAACATGTTGATACCAAATATAGGTTACTGATTATTAACGTCGGCAACCATTCTTATTGTTTACGAGAACTCTAGTGCTTGCGCTCGAACAAAGGGGACGAAATTTCACGTAGCAACGTCACAGCTGATTTAGATCCCGTATCTAACCCGTGAATTTTGCGTGGCCGTTCGTTGTTGGCGAACAGCTGATCGGAACTAAAACATCGGGCTTCGAAAACAACGGAAAGAGAGGGAGTAGCCAATAACAGTCGGTTGGATTGCCGGGCAAGAATTAATGAGACAAAAGATATCGTGATACTAACGGGTAGTAGGACACCAGATCGCGCACCATGATTCAGGCAACGAGTGTCACGAAACGGTTTTCGCGCCTTTCCATGCCTTCAAATCTTCCGTTGAAGAGATTGCAATTTAATGCGACGAGATACCTTATGCCTTCAGAAGAAAGAAGAAACGTTAAATAAAGATACGGGAAATACTTACAAAGCCGTTCTTGTTCGTCACCAACGCTCTCAGCCGTGGCCTCTACGGACGGGTCGTAGTGGCCCAAAACCGGGTAGTCCATAATCCCGTTTTCAGGCCGTTCGTTTCCCAAGCATCGAATCGCTTTTCTATCGAAGACGGTCGTGCAATTCCCGTTTGGATGATCGTTATTTTCTCATAGCACAATTTTCATCACGCACGTACACGCACACACGCACCTCAGTGTCGCCTTGGCAACTGTGCAACAAGCAAAACACTTCCCCACGAATATTCACCTTTTTCACGTTACCGTAAGACCTTCCGGATTAAAATTCGTGGACAATGTAACACATACTACACTCTTTTAACGCGATATATGAAGTGAGACCTTTATCGAGATAGCTTTAATTCATGATTCCACTTTTCTGCGCGTTTCTCCCGTGTAAGGTTGTATGGCGGCCTTGAAGGTGGCGACACCTGTTACTTCGCGCGTTAAGCTGTAATGCTACCAATAGCAAGGACGTGAAAATCGCTATGCTAGTGTAAGCATCGTTGGATGTACAGGTTTGATGACTCTCGTGGTGGGAGTAATCCCCTAGTGGTGTGGATTAATGACCTCATGCGGCAAAATTGAGAAACTCCGAACCAAATTGACTATTCTTCTCTCTCTCTTGTGCTGTTTCATGGAGAGACGACAATCGTTCAAAGGTTTTGGAGGGAAGCAGTAGTAATTTCTTGTGTTCAACTTTAAAATATTCTTTATACAAAGGTGCAGGTTGATTCTATTTCATCTCTTTTTACATACGTTTTTAATTCTAAAGCAATATACTAAATTAAAAAGTAACGTTATTCTATTCTTAAAATATTGAATGTTCTAGATCTTGCTTGCTTTAAATATCGAGTCAGTGAATATGGCAGATATTTTTAAAAATTCTATTTTATAGTTTACAATATTTTTAATGTTTTTATTGCACCTTTAAGAATACACATTCTAAGAATACTGTCGCGTGAAATAACGAGGTAGAGATTGAAAGAATTTATTTATTGGACATCGATATATGTACATATATATTTCGCAAGTTATAATTAACGTTGTACATATCACATAATATACGATATGATCACAGAAGTGTTAAAGTGTTCGCTGTTTAAAATGGTGTGGTAACTTTTATGAAAATACGCTCCAATGGATTTATAACTCTTCCGAAAATACACTCGTTTATCAATACTTTCGCACGATCGTTATGCTGCATTATATACTATGGAAGAAACATGGAAAAGCAAGGATGTGCAAGCGTTGTTGTGTTTGCTGTCGCAAATCTCACAGGTATCTAGTGACAAATAGTTTCTACGGACGTTTTACCTAAAACAGACAAAAATTACACCGCCATATTGATTAATCTTTGCAAATATGCCTCCATCTTTTTTTTTATGAAATAGGAGAGAATTTTAATAATTTTTATATTAGAATATTTTACATATTTTTATATAACATAAATATATTTATAATTTTTTAATTATCCCTCAATTATTTATATCTTAAATTTTAATTATTATTTTATATTCTTTTTTTAATTTTCTACTTTATTTTATTAGGCGTTTTTTACATTAAATATGTGCTTTCTCATACTAATTTTAATTATTATACTTTCAGGTATGTGGTCTCACGATATGTAAATTAATATAAAAACATTAACAAATAAAAATTACCTTATACGGAGAATAGGAATCGGTAAAATCATGGATGCTGTTAAAACGTAGTACAGCCTCATTAATAACAGGAAAACTTTTAGACGGTTCTTTGTTAAGGTTAAGTGTCTAGTAAGTTGTCAGAGTTGTAAAATACGAACTGGAAGTAACAATGATTGTATGGAAGTCCTGTTGAATGGGCTCACGAAATAGTAAGATTGTTTTAGAAGATCGTGAACGTGATCGTTGTGCGATGCGTAAGACCTAATAAACAATTTCTGAGGTGTATTATTTTTTATAACAAGCTTTATAGCGAAAGCGGGTGATTTAAAAATTTCAAATGATTACTTACCAGTTGGTCGAAGACGGTTACCCTGTTAGTGCTAATGCGAATTAATTTTCAAACAATTCGATTGATTGACCTTACTGAAATGAGTACAAATTGCATATAGTCTGTGAGGATTTGTTAGGCTATTTCGATTATAGTTTGTAGTTATTACAAAAATTGTTTATAATTTTTTGTATATGAAATGTATCAAATTTAGAATGTTTTATACTTAACACTTTTAACAATGAATGTTGTAACAATGAATTTTTTAACAAGTCAACGTTTTAAACTTTTTAAATGCGGAATACTTTAAACTTGAAGTAAATATAGAATGCTTCAAACTTACTCAAACATAGAATAAACGTGTAACATTTTTAGTTTGAAATTCTATAAACTTGATACATTTCATCCATGAAATATTGAAAACCTGAAATGCTAAAAACTTGAAGCGTCCTAAACTCGAAATGCTGTAAGCTCTAAGCTTCTAAAGCTTACTAGGAACATTTGGAGCTAAGAAGATTCAAACTTGATCCTCCTGGCAACCCCGTGATTTGTCGAGCCTGAAGACAACTAAAGTTCTAGCACAATCAGCGTTACCTTAATGTCGTCGAATCAGCCGTGTACGATGATGAAGTGCGCCAATAAGAAAACCGCTTTCCTCGTCGGATTCAGCCGATTGCCGACGTAATATCCGATTGTTCGGGGTGCCACTAATCGAGACAGAGGTTTGCTTAAAGGGTTGCGTTGGGAACGATGATCGGCGAATAAGTGGCGGTGGTTTCGCACCTACGGTTCGATTCACAGCTGTTTTACGTGCGTTGCTCGTACAAAACGATCATGCTGATCTAATTATATGCTACCTAATAGACGTAAAGCGGATCGATGCATGCCTTGTATTTCGAAAGACCTCTGACTCCTCATTGGTTGCCTTGGAATGAACCGCCTCTGAACGGGAAGCTCGACCGTGGACGTTTTCCTTGAGCTGGCACTACCTGCCTTAGACGAGTCCTTATGCGTTTTTTTAAAAATATATGCACATGTTCGTATACTCGTGTCGTTGTTTTGTGGCATAGAATGTTTTTGTTTTATTTTTATAGTCAATCTGTGTAACGTTTTCGATATGTTCTGTTGTGGTGATTATGTTTCTGGCTGATAAGGGGTTGTTGTTGTACTGTTTAATGTAACATGTGGGCTCTACTTCTAGAAGTGTCTTTTTTGTGTGGTTTAGTTATATTGCGAAACGATAGTTTCGGTTTTCTTAACTGTAAGTATGAAAATGTAAGCTGTTAAATTGGGCGTTGTTAATGTGCGCATCGGTGTGTGAACTTTTTGCCGATTTGTTGGTAGATGACATTTTGTGTTATATACAGGGTGGTGTATTTGGGTGAGATTTGGTAACTTAGGAATTTAGGGATTTAGAAATTTCTGAATTTATAGATGTGGTGATTTGGAGGTTTAGGAATTTAGGGATTGGAGAATTTGGAGATTAGGAGATTAGGAGATTTAGGGATTTCTGAATTTATAGATGTAGTATATAGGACCTTGGAAATTTGGAAATTTTTGAGCTTTCAGATTTGAGGACTCTTGAATTCGCAGACAAAGGCATTTGAGGATTCAGAAATTTGTAGAACTGAGATTTAAAAATTTAGGGACTTGCAGGAATAGGGAAACTTACTACAAACTTAACAATTCCACAATTAAAAAATAATGAAACTTCAGAATAAAATTTAAAAATATGGAGATTCAGAAATCCATAAATTGAAGAACAAGAAACTCAAATCACATGAACTAAAAAATCCCCCCACTGTCCCAACGAACATCCATCGAAAAAAATATTTATTCGCAACAAACAAATATAAAAAATCTCGTGTACATCAAAAAATGAATAGTTTCCGCTGAAATACCTTGTCTCTAGCGAAACGTATTCTCAACACTTCAACGAGAGCAGCGATCGCTGAAATGAGAAGCATCGTCACAAGAATGTGTCCAGCCACAGGGACCGATTTCATTCGATGATCTTTCACACTTTCCTCCGCGTTCTCCGACAAATTTTCATCGACAATTTCCTTCTCGATCTTCTGATTCTCCAGCTCTTCAGTTTCCTCTTGTCCCTTATTATCCTTCGGATCATCGGCCATAAAAGCTGGAGTATAGGTACAGTTTCTGTCGCAGTCGCAATGGAAAACGGACATCAAACGATCTTCGTACTGCAACTTTGGACAACGTTTCAGTCTCCTATGATCGAACAGGTTCACTTTCGGTTGGATACTCGTAACATTCTCCGGTGTTTCGATCACTTCGTTTTCACCGACAGTCTGGTTTCGGCCGTAATTCGTGTTCAACAGCAAACGCAGCGGCAGAGACAGTAGCACACCGAAGATCGTTAGAATCACAAGGATGCTGACATTGATGCCCAACGATATTCGTTTCTCTGACATCTTGAAGGGTTATCTCGACGAATTATCTCTCTGTTCACAGCACGTTTCTTCCGGATACGCGTTGCATCCCGTACCACCCAGTCTCGCGATTCTTCATATTGAATCCCTCGATCCTTTGTCAGTTGTTTACATGATTATTGCTCGAGCACTGATAGTGTGAGAAGTTTTCAATTGTCGGTTAAACAATGAGATTAGCCACGATATATCCCTCCCTCTCTTTCGCTCGAACGCAACTGTTGCGCATCCTGTTGTGACTGCAGATCCGAGTGAACCTGGATGTAGGCTGATATTGATTTCCAGGTAGAGCCACCACGTACGCGCAAGTCTCACCACTTCTGACGAGGAAACTACACTTGGCGGTAATTAGTCGTCGTTTAAATTGAGCTCGGCTTAAAACAATTAACGCCCACTACCCTTGTCTTCGATTCAAGGTAATTGCCTGTTCAAGGCAATCTTCAGGAATCGATTTTCTTCAAAGGGGTATTGGTTCAGTCTGTTTGATTTTACTAAAATCTGAGGGTATTTGTCGAAAGTTTACGACTTCATTTATTACCCCTTTGCACTCGAAGATAATTTTATTGTTTGCAAACAGCAACTTTAAAATATTAATTAAAATGTTAAATGAGTTCTTTTGAGGTTATTATTTCTTTACTAATAATTTTCACTATATTGTCTATTTCACTATATTTATACATCACATGAGCACCATTATAGAATTAATTAAATAATTCTTATTTCAAATCATTGTACTAAATATAATGGTGATTGTCACCTCTCGAGTGCAAAGGGTTGACATTGAAGAAAAGGTTTATAAATTGCAATTTTATAATTTAATCTGAGTACTTGAGGACAAATTTGTAAATTGAAAAAACTTGCATTTGTATATTTTTAAATTTATCCTGTTATAATGTAAAGATTGTATAAAAAAGAGAAGGAGTTAGATAGAAGAGAAACGAGTTCAAGTGCAAAGGGTTAAGGTTACAATCAGTATCTATTCATGCGGCTGCACGAATATTTGGTTCGTGTTGGTTCTCCCTTATCCTTGGCAGGGTTAAACAACGCATATATCTCCATAAAATACAGTCTTTAGACGAAACGTGCAGGCGTTCGTGCGCAAGTCCGAAAGCGGCTGAGCAGTCGATTCATCGTGATACAAACGGTTTCGCATGGCGGAGAGGAAGCGGTAGCTGGCGGCAAAAGGGTGCAAGGGAACGCTTTGAAATGGGCAAGTTCTCTAGCGCGTGCATACATAAATAATATTAGACAATATCGAATTAAAATTCGCATCTTTCTGCGAGCAACAATGGGCCGTGGTGCCCCAACAAAGGAAATGCCCGC